TTTCGTTAAAATTTCTTCACTTCACGATTTCAATATTGAATTGTAACTCAGTTCTCCATTAATTTTGAACTTAAACGACTCAAAATTGCAAAACTTTAATGAGCAAGCAGAGTTTTATCAAAACTTAACATCAATTCAATCTAAAAGCTTTAAAAAGCATTAATTTATGTATTTCAATTAAAAATTTTGTTTACAAACAACCGTGAAAATTGTGCGGGAAAAATTTGAATATCTCAAAATAACGGTCACTATTAATCTACGCTAATTAAATTAGTTAAAGATTTATGAGATGATTCAAATGAAGAATTAACATTATTAATACCAAGAAATATTAGTCGGTGATTTGTAAAGAAAAAGTCCATTCACTTTTAAAGCCATAAAAATGTACTTAACATCATAAAACTCAAAACTTAAAAATGACAATTAATCACTATTCACAAACTGCGCCACATTCATCTGATAAAAATTAGTATTGGCGACTTTTACATTAGTTTTTTTGTATTCAGAATCAGTAAGAACGAACTGGGAGAGGAGATGAAAGAAAGAAAAAAGAGATGTTAAATGCAAAACAGACATAAAAATTTAACATGTAAAAGAAGAAGAAGATCAATAATGATTTTTTCCGTAGTATAAAATATCGGTCACTAAAGAAGAAAATAAGGCGAAAAACAGAATCAGAATAAGAAACGAAATCAGATGAGCAAAAAAAAAGAAGAAGAACACAACAAGCATAAATCTTTCCCAATGTGCGATCCGTTTAACAGTAGTATTCAGATTATGTAAATTCCAGAATGAGATCTTTGTTTCCTGTCGCAAATTATGCAAATGATCCAATAATATTTATAAGCTTTAAACAGATTTTTATGGGAAAAGTAACTGTATGATAGTATAGACATTGATGATCTAATTTATAATAAACTTTTTTACGATAGCCAAGGAGGAAGTGAAGAAGTTAAATGAAGCATGCATACTTGGATAATAGAAACTCACATATGTCTATCTGCATCTAAATATATGCATCTATCTATCTATCTACCGCTATAAGTTAATCAAGTTATGGAAATACAGTGTTGTAAATTTAAAATCTATATTATACATCATACTTATGATATGTTGCTGGAGATAAATAACAACATTCTACTTTATATTTTTTTTCTTCTATAATTTAATTTATCGATTATGAATTTATCTCGTTTATTAAATATTTATAGAATGTGGTACTGGGTGGAAATGTTTGTGCTTGTGCCACTTCCTTTGTTAAACTGATTAAAGCGCTTTTTGATGCTAATTTGAAGGGCATAACTAGTGACTGGTTTCTCACTTAACCAGTGTGCAGTAGGGTTACTATCCATAGCGTCTTAACTTTATCAAAGTAGTTGACAGCCCTATTTGTTCTTATTACCATTCCTCCCACTAATCTCTCATTTGTGATATACCTTATAATAAGTACCATTTTTAGACATTAAAATGTGATAAAAATTTTAACTTTGCATGAGACCTTTAAAAATTTCTCTTTTACGACCTTATTGACATACCTCCAGCTGAATAATTTTTCATAACGCGCCATCTTTAAAATATAAAAAATAAGGTACCAAACTCAATCATCGCGCATCTGTGTCATTAATAATAACGGGTAATAAAATAATCTTGACGAAAGCAGACGACAAAAATTATTCATATCTCACGATCATCTCTAGCAGCGAGGTTAAGTGATTAATAAATTAGGCATTTCTAAAAGCAGATTAACATGAAAATTATGAAAAACACGAAAGTCAATATAAAGGCACGACTATTGAGGGAATTATTCAATAAAAATATTTATTGGAAATTAATTTCTTTAACATTTTCCCGCCAAAAAGCCTATAAATCTTAATTAGTACATGTAAATCATGCTATCTGCTGTGTTATACATACATTGCATATTGAGAATTGTGGAGCCATGGGGAACTTATCAACGCATTAAGTCTCGATTCTTTTCGTGTAATTCTTCTTATGTGCATGTGCACCTTTCCGGTCTTTACAATACTCAATTTTAATCCGTTGAGGATTAAATTATTGGTTCCCTGGAAGTGACTTTTGTCAGACAAATTGGAACTAAGGATGATAAAAAATTTTAAGGTTAGATATTTTGGCCGGGAAATTTCAATTTCCATAGCAAAGCGAGTTTGAATTGAATAAATTTAAAAAGTCTTTTTCCATAGAAAAATATTGACACCTGGAAAAATGCAATAAAAATTCACCGCAGGGCACCGTCTTTTTGTGCATGACAAACGCATCTACCCAAAAACACATGCTGAATAAATTTAAATTTGCAATTAGACATCAAACAAAATTTCCAATTCCACCTTTGTCGAGTGCATAAATTTGACTGAAATCAATTTGCGATTAATTCATCACGTAATTCCTTTGCAGTACAAAGGAATTGAGGATTATTGCATACCTCCCATGTCATCAATGTTAAAATTGAATGTCGATTGTGTTGTAATCACAGTTGTAGTAAAAAATAATTTTGATGAATTACAATAACAATAATCAATATATTAAAGAAAAGAAACGTGAACCTGTTGATGAATAATTACATTCATAAGAAGTAGAAAGAGAGATGGAAAGATAAGAAGTAAGAACTAAAAGAGGTGTGTTAATATTCTTATTCAGATACAAGAGGACATTAACCCTCGATCAACAATGTTACAAAGACTTTATATTTTTCATATTTATAATATATTATAATAATATATTCCATTGAAATTGACTTTGTCACAATTGATGAATATACAATTGACTTGATTAACTTCTTATATGATTCAAAACTACGAAAAAAATATCAATGAAGGCGTTCATTTCATTCTAATGCTTAAGCAACGTCAGAATGAGTTTTATTTTTTAAAAATTATTGTTTGAGTTGAAAATGAGAAGGCAATGGTAAGACATGCAAAGGTTGCTTGTAGCTCATTTGATTTATTATGTTTTATTGGTAAAGGACTTAAAGTCATAACGGATTTATTGAATCATTCATTTTTTGAAGCTTAGAATGATTAATTAATTCGTTAATTAGAGATTTGTGGGAAATTTTTCTAGATTTTGTGTACATGCATAAGATCTTTGGTTTGATGCTGTTTTGTGAAGTGCAATTAATTTAAAGTGTTATTGCCTATTGTGAGGTTTTTTAATTAATTACGTAAATTCTCATTCATAAGCTAAGCCTTGGAAATGCTCTTAGAAAATCAAAACATTTCGGAATGAAAGCATTTACCGACAGCATTTTACTATAGGCAAATAAAGTTTATAGCTTAAAAGAAAACAGAAGCAATTTAAATGAACTATTTTGAATGTGGTCAGACTTCAGTGTCAGACTTGTTGAATCCAATTTATATTCGGGGTCAAAAATTGGATTGAATATAATGGAAACTTGAGTATTTTGAATGCATTTTGATTTATTTGAGGGATAAAGGTTGGTTGATGCTAGATAATGGAGACAATAGATTAAAAGCAATGATTTTGAATAATTATGAAGAATTAGATTTACTTGAAGATATTTTTTTTAAAATAGCTCTAGCATTGACTTAACATTTGCATGAAGAATCGTTTACACCCAAAGTTCAAATCAGACCCAAAACCTTCATTGAAGGGGTGGAAGGTAGTGGATATGAGTATTTTCATTCAAAAGACAATTAAAACAAAAATTTAATCTAAAATCGTGCCAGAAGTGAGACACAAAAACGATAAAATAAGACAGCAACGTCAAATAATTTGACATGTATCGGATTTAAGCTTCGTTTTTAATGCTATAAAAATTCATATCCCCGTTAGATTTAAATATTTTTTCAAGTTTGATTATAATTCGCTTATTTTGGAATAAAATTTTAATATCCTGCCATATCTCAGACATGTCCGGAAGTTCTTAAATTTTCAAACATTAAGCTACACAAAATCACTTTAAGGAGCACTTTAAGTTTTAAAGCGTGCAGATTCTTATCGTTGACATTTCCCATGATACAGTAAGTAAGAAAACAAGAACTTCAAGGCGAATGATTGAAATTAAATACTCAATTCCCCAAAGTAAAGCACAGCAAATCGAAAAACATTTCTTCAACCAAGTTTTATGTAATTTTATCAGATTTTCAATTCTATTATTGATTTGCTGCTGTCATTTCTACAAATAACAATGTTGCTGATACTGATATTCATTTTTGATATTAATATTATGATTGTAATCAAAATATTCAGTTACTTCAATGTACAAAAAAGATCTTTAATGGTCATATGAATGGATTGAAGCAATGTCAAATATGAGGTGGGTTCGCTCAAGTTTATGAGATGTGTTATAAAGTTGTACACCTCTCTTAATATTTCGTTCAATTCTTAAAAATCATATTAATTAAAAGCTTTTGAAAATTTAAAAGCACAAAAGAAAATCCTTAAAACGCCAATAGCTTCAAAAAAGCAAACAAATAAAATTTCAATCCACACAAAAAAAATAAATTCTCAGAAAAAAAATTATGAATATGCTAAATTTTAGCATCCGCATTTCGCAATATTTACTGAAGAATTTTTTATCAGCAAACACAAACAGTACAGAAACTCATTAAAATTATATTCCTCATTTCATAGCCTTAAGCTATGATTAGCATTAAGATTCATTCAATTGATACAAACAATAGCAAATAAATGAACGAACTGTCTCGAGATTTGTATTAAGAATAAGAGCACTAGAACCGTCTTAAAGATGTTCTTTTTCTTATTAATCGTCGCTTTCAAAAGCGTCTGAATGGAAATTTTATTTGTAATAGAAAAAGATAGAATCGGTATTTAGTTCTTATTCTACTTTACTTTTTTTTATCATGTTTTTCTCGTCTCGTGAGCATTTAGAAATTTATAGTTCATATTCTATTATGATAATTCATGCTTCATTTTTTTTTCTCTTCTCTTTCATAGCAGACGCCTCAGCAATTAAAGTCAACATCATAGTAGTAAGAAAGCGCCGTTAAAACGCTAAAGCAATGCATTGCTTTTGTCGATCGTCGAAGACAATTTCTGTGCGAATCATACTTCTTGATGAAACCGATTTCTTACATGAGATTCAGGTAAGTCCTACGCCTTTTCTTTTGCATATACATAAAATAATTATTTTTTATGCCTTTATATTTAAATTTAATAAGAAATTACATTTTGAATATTTATTTATTTTTTTCGCCACACACATCGAATGTTGATGCTTTGCTGTTCTTTGAACTGTTAATTTTCATATGGGTGTACTTGAGAAAATGTGTCGCTTACTCATGCTCTTTATTGTTATGTGAATTTTATTTCACTTTATTTTCCTCCTTTTAGCTCGTTTTGGTATGAAAAATCTCTTTGAGGTTGAGTCAGGTTGAGTTCATAAATAACAGTTAATTTCTAAGTGTTTATAGCTATTGCGTGTAAAAATGTTATTGAGTTGATTAAAGAGGTTTCGAAATCAATCACTGATGAGTTAATGTAATGCTAGCAAAACTATTAGCAAAACCCTACATTACATTCTATTCTAATGTAATGTTATTGATGATCCTTGAGTAGATTTAAGGGTTCTTAAGAGAAGTTTTAAAGTAAATTTCACTTTCATTCGAAATATTTTAAATAATTGACCAATATTCACGATGATTCACATTTTATTTTGAAGGAGAGGGTTGAAGAGGGATCACACTTTGACGAGTGGGTTGAGCGAGCTTTAATTTTGATTAGCAATTGCATTATAATCAAAGATGGCAAAGTTACTTCAAATCATCACCATACGATACATTGGATATGATCAGATCCTAATCAGATATTTTATCAATCCCAAATCAACTCAAACCTCAAAATGCGCTCAAATTCAATGCAACCTCTACAAATTTCCCCAATCTATTTCCATCATTTAAAAACCTCACACTTTTTATTGTCTTTTTTTTCTGCGAGCGAACAAAAGAAGGAATAAAACTAGTGTATCGGGTAGAAACCCAATGCGGATATATTCACACCGTACCATCAAAAGTTTTATGGATAAGACCAAGATTTGCTCAGCATAAGTTTGAAGGGTGGGCGTGAAGTACGGTCGAGACCCATATCGACACAGTTCAAAAGTTATACCTAATTTATGTTATAATTATGTCAGCTACAAAAACACTTAGTTTGAATTTCGTCACCCTGAGGAACACTATGAACCAGTATAGCTGATTTTGGTCCAAATCTCGGTCATACTTCACACTTATTTGAACCACATTTTCTCGTAAATGTTAAAATATTATTAAAAAGTAATTAATCCTGAATTATGTCGCTATTTTTTCAAGTGTTTTAAGACAAAGAATTTGTTTTTTGGTTTCCACAGTGAAGAGTATGAACAAAATTCAGATGGGGTAGTCGAAATTTTAGATTTCGATTTTTTTTAAGCTATGGATTACAAAAAGTAAGATTGGTATGTGATTTATGTCAGAATTATGTCAATTCAAATAAAACATCCAAAAAATTTTTTTGACCTAAGTACACCATTGAAAATCAATTTTCAATTTTGGACTAGGGGCGACCCTAGTCAAAATCAATTTTGTCACTTTTTTCTTCGAGGGTTTATCCAAATGGATTGAAACTTTGCATAAATATTCTAGTGCTTAAAAAAAATACAAATAAAACATCCTAAATTTTTTTGAGCAAAGAACGAAGTAGGAACTACATTTTCAAATATGAACTTGGGACAGGTCTAGTCAAAATCTAGTATTTCACTTTTTTTTCTTCGAAGATAAATCCAAATACAGTAAAACTTTGTATGAGCATTCTAATCCTCAGGTCACAAATTTCTGAATTAATAAAAATCATTTTTTTGGAAAAATTTTAAGTCACGTTGTTTTTATATGTAGAACCAAATTTATAAAATTTGGGTCTTACGACATATAGAATACATTTCTTGCTTTAGATATTTAAAACTGTTTTGTATAAATATTAGTATACTCACACAAAGTTTCACTGTAATTGGATAAACCTTCGAAGAAAAAAGTGACAAAATTGATTTTGACTAGGGTCGCCCCTAGTAGGGTTTGGGGAATCTGTTAACAGAAAACAGAAAAACAGCTGTTTTACGACAAAAATCTGTTTTCTGTTTTTCATTTTTACACAAAATTTACAGTAAAAAAAAATCTCATTAATTTTTTGAAGAACTTAATATATTTTTCTAGCATTTCAAATTGAAATGTATTTACTATTTTAATATTTTTTGGATGTTTAATAGGTTTGAAATCATTATCAAATTTATGGTTAATCATTATTAATTTTGCAATCGAAATTTTAAATTTGTTGAACCTTTTGTAGCATTTACTAAAGTTTAAAAATATAATCAACAATTTTACAAGATATTTTTTTATTCAGAAAGATTTTTTGAATATTTCAAATAAAATATTAGAGCTTATGGAACTTTTACAATGCAACAATGCAATGTTACTTAAAGGTATAAATTTTTTTGGATTTTGTTTTTGCATTTTTATATTTCATAATATTTTTTAGAGTTAATTAACATAAAAAAATAAGAAATAATAATGCTTAGCTCTAAAATGTATGCTTAACTGCTTATAACCACCAAGAAGTTTCATTATCTTAGAGAAACACATAGGATAACTCAGTTTATTTTGAATTCTAGAAAAACAGGAAAACAGCTGTTTTTAAAAATCAAAAACCGAAAACAGACTGTTTTTCAAAAACAGCTGTTTTCCACAAACCCTAGCCCCTAGTCCAAAATTGAAAATGTATTTCCTTCTTGGTTCTTTGCTCAAAAAAATTTTTTTCATCCAAAGTTTAATATCAAAGTGAACTTTTAATTTGAAAAATTCGTAAGAAAGGAAAGTTTTTTGCTTTTTCTGAAGCAACGGCTGTTCCTACCTTGCCCAAAAACAATACAGCTCTTCTACAGAGCAGCACGGATCAAATGTAAAAAAACTAGAAGTCTCTACGATGTCTCGTTATTGAGATTTCTTGCTGATTAACTTGCTTGTTTGCTTGCCTACAGAAAGCATATTTTGAGTTTTTTCTCAGCAATGCCGCAACCAATTTGAAATCTGTTTTTTGCAAAAGATGTAAAATTCAAGGCACAAACTTTTCATCTCTGAACATTTTAAGCTATCTTGCTCCATATCCTCACAAAATTCTAAAAACTGATTTTTCAATCTGAACAAAACCAATAGATTCACACGTGAAAACGGTGTGAATATAAAAAAAAGCATTCAGTTATTTGTGCTCGCACAAAGTTGAGCCTCGAGTCGAGTGAGATGGAAAGAATGTTATTGCGACACTTATATCAACAATTGTTTGAAATATGAGAAATGCTTGACGTTGTAAATCTTTGAATAATAACAGCATTTCAGTTACACCTTAAAGCAATTTAATATAAATATAAATATAAATTGTGTACAGAACGAAGAGACTAAAGTTATCAATCTTCCATTTTCTCTCCTTTATTTCTTGTTTTCATTTTTATTATGCAAAATAAAAATATATGCAGAAAGAATTATTGGGACAATCACTTCTCGAGGTTGTTTTCAATCGCCTCAATCTGCTCGAGACTGCTTACTTCGGTCTGCGATATTTAGATCTTGAAGGACAAACGGTATGTGTGAAGAGAAACATGGGAAAAATGACTAGAATAACTCAATTAGTCATTTTTTTTCTATTTTTACTCTTACTCATTTTATATCCAATCTATCTTATTTCCTATCCTGTTTAGCACTGGCTCGATGCAAATTCACGCCTATCACGTCAACTGAAAGAGAATAAAGATATTTATGAGCTTTATTTCTCAGTAAAATTTTATGCTGTCGATCCATGTAAGCTTATTGAAGAGATTACAAGATATCAATTCTATTTACAATTGAAGCAAGATGTATTGCAAGGAAGACTGCCTGTTCCATTTGATTTGGCATCACAATTAGGAGCTTATGTTGTTCAATGTAAGTCTATTAACATACATAAATCGTGTTCCTTATTTCTTCTATTTCTATTGTACATTTTTTTTCTACGATTCATTCTCAGCCGAAGTTGGGGATTTTGAGCCAACCAAGCATACATACGGATACGTATCAGAATTTCGTCTTGTGTCAAATCAAACAAAAGAGCTCGAATATCGTATTAGCGAGCTTCACAAACAATTGAAAGGCGTCGGACAAGCGCAAGCGGAATTTAATTACTTGGATAAAGTCAAATGGCTTGATATGTACGGCGTTGACCTTCATCCAGTCTTGGTCAGTATATGTGTACACACAATAATTTTATTTTAAATTATACTATTCATAGACATTATTACTATTTTTTTTTCGTAAGTTAAATACTAATTAAAGCTTTATAGTCCAGCCGTTAAGTCAACTTTTTAATATTATGTTTTTTTTTTCTCTTCTCTCGTTGTGTCCATTTATACTTAATCATTGGTCACGATTAAATAACGTCAATTCTATTACTGTTGTTGTCCTCAATTTTTTCGATACTTATACATCAGGGTTGGATAAATACAAAAGTCAGTATAATTGGCAGTGATAAAATGCTGACATTATCAGCAACAGTTTTAGAGAATTGTCCTCAGAAAGATTTGGACATTTTCAAATGTCTTTGTCCAGACAGGATTGTCTAGCAGTCTGTTTTTTTGTTGACTAAAAAAGATCAAAAACTGTTGCTGATCATCCTACCAGTTAGTATTGTCAATCACATAAGCTTATAAGGAGCTAGGTTACCAAAAATTCATAATAGTTTCGAAATGAGTTTCTAGTCTGTGACATTTAGTTCTATTTGCTAGTCAATCTTAAAATAGTGAATGACAGCACTGACTGTTGGTATTTTCTATCCCAAACATTACAACTGACAGGAACAGCTATTCTTCTATTCATGTCAGTTACTAATGTCATCATTTACCAACCCTGAAGCTTACAGTTTTGAATGATTTTAATTGCAGGGTGAAGATAGCGTAGAATACTTTTTGGGATTGACACCGAGTGGCATAATTGTGCTTCGAAATAAGACAACAGTAGCTCATTATTACTGGCCTCGCATAGCAAAAGTCTATTTTAAAGGACGCTATTTCATGTTACGAGTATGTGACAAAAATGTGAGTACTTATGCAACTTTTAGCCTTTCATGCACGAGACAAAATTAATGAAAGTGTATCAAATGATGAGCACATCCACTCGTCCAAAACACTTTTACTTAATATGTCTCTACATGATTTTTTGTCTTCTTTCTATCCTATATATATTTTTTTAAGAGGGTGTAGACAAACATTAATTTCAGAGATCGAAGCCGATTTTTTCGGCTTAACTCAATTTTTGATTTTTTTGATAGAAGAAAGCCATTTAACACCCATTTTAAGTATTTAAATTGAACTTTACATGCTTTACTATGATTCTGTGAAATATTTTTTCAGCATGTAGCTATAGTGAGCTCAGAATTTCAAGTTAAAGAATGTTAAGCCGAAATTTAAGCCGATCGGCTTAAAATCGGCTTAACTGAAATTCTGAGCTTACTATAGCTAAATGCTGAAAAAATATTTCACAGAATCATAGTAAAGCATGTAAAGTTCAATTTAAATACTTAAAATGGGTGTTAAATGGCTTTTTTCTATCAAAATAATCAAAAATTGAGTTAAGCCGAAAAAATCGGCTTCGATCTCTGATTAATTTAAAAACCTTGCACACGAAATTTACTTTAATTTTCATTTTCGTCACTTCTCCTCTGTCTCTTTACACTTCTTGTTCCATATTTATTCAATTTTTCTTATATATGTGTAACATAGAATGAAGTGAACACGTACGGATTCGAAACGCCCAAAAAAGTAGCTTGTAAGCATTTATGGAAATGCTGTGTTGAACATCACGCCTTCTTCCGATTAGTCCGTGTCTCCCCAGCACATGCCACAGGCGAGTTTTTCTCATTAGGTTCACGTTTTCGCTACAGGTAAAAATTAAATATTTATTTTGATGTTCAAGAAACATTTTTTGGACTCACTTTACTCATCTTCTATTTTTATTCCCGTCTCGTTTTCCTTGTTTAAACAAAAAAAAAATCCTTTTGCAGTGGAAAAACAGAACAGAAAGCTTCAAAGGATGCTTCAAATATTAATCGAGCTCCACCATGCTTCACAAGAAAGCCGTCGAGAAGACAAATAAGAAGAAATTTTGACTCGAGTCATCATGAACAAAGTTTCGAGACAGATAATAAAAGAAAGTTTGAAACTAAATCAATTTCCGTACCTCAGCCAGCTTACACGTATGTAAAAGTTATTCTTCCTTAGTTCTTTATGAATTTTCCTTTCATTCAACCAGCTTTTTTTTTTGTTGTTTACTCTTGCTCGTTGATGCATTTTGTTGTTGGTTCCTTTTTTTGTAAAGGATTAACTGAATTTTTTATGTGATAGGGGATTTCACTGGTATTTTGCCTGTCTGTATGCTGTCCTCTGTTGACAGTTTTGATAATATTAGGTTTGAGAATCCAAATTAACTTGGATTCATGTAGAAAACAGTTTAGGTTGACAAATAAAATTTGAATTTGAAAATTCGATAGGCTTTAAAAATATTGTAATCCAAAAATTAAAGCAGACAAGAAAAGGTTTTTCCCCCTTAAATTCATCAAATCAGAACCAACACAAAATGCTGTTTCGTTCCACTTTGTCGCCGACATTTCCTATTACTTCCTTCAAACAATTCCATTCAATGTACAATTCAATTTCATCCTTTCAACTCGCATACAACGACAACACGAAAATTTTGTGGTTTGAAATGTTCAAACAAATAAAATATTTTTTTTTCTTTTATTCCTTCCCTTTTATTCAATCTACATCACATCACATTACACGATAAACATGATGATGCACACACCAATTCCGTTTAGAATTGACAATGTATATAGATCGACATGTAGCATACCAGCAGCTCTAAGCAACAATAATAATAATAATAAAAACAGCATCAACAACAACAACAATAATAGTAATACAATGAATAGCAGGTACAGCCATCATTCAGCGCCAGATTCCCCACGTAGTACACGAAGTGCTGGATGGGCAAAAAGTCAACAGCGCGGTTTGTTTGGCATAAATTCGAGTCCAAAGTCGGTACGTTCTGCATCATCGCGTAACGGAAATTCTCAATCGAATGGACATCGACAGCGTTCAAGTTCAGTGGAGAGTCAGTCATCAAATGATTCACGTTCAGGAAGAAGACATCGATCACGAAGTAAGAAAATGTCGGATAATGAAAGTGAAATGTCTCGTGGCTCAGGTCGTTCGGGAAGATCTCATCGTAAACATCGACGTCATAGATCTCGTAATCGTGAATCGGGATCGGAACGTGGAAGTAGCACTAGAGACTATAATTGCAATGAGAAATATGCAGATCAACCAGAGTTAGTTGACTCCAATAAACAATGGTTGGAAGTGCAAAGAAAGCAGGCAGAAAAGTCGAATATGGGAACCGTGCAACAAGCATCTGTAATAAAAAGCAATACAGCACCAAAGTCAAATAATTCCACTGATACTTATAGCCGTAACAAGAAACATAGGAAACACAGGTAAGTTAACTACATTTATTTTCTTTTTCTGGTACATTGTGTGTGTGTGTTTGCTTTTGTGTGAAATTGATTATGGGAATTATTGCTATCATCATAATTAATGGGAAATCTTTTTTTCCCATCCACATTAAACACAACGCGGCATGCATTTACATCCTACACAAGCAATTGAAAACAAAAATTGATTTTTCTTGTTTCTCATCTTTACCCGCATTTCACAGATCTCCCACAGATTCTAGAAATAAAATTTGGTCTTCGGAACTCACGAGACATTTACAATTTGACCTAGTTGATACAGATGGTATGACGGAAGATCAATTGAAAGAGATTCCGTATACAGTCGTTGAAACTACACAAAATACACAAAATCGTAAGCGTAATAATAGCACGAATTCACTAAAAGTGCACAAAAATTCATATGGAAAGGATAGAGTTGATAGAATAAGAGGGTAATGGATTTAATGCTTTATAATAATAATAATAATATATTGATTTGGTCAATAAAATATATAAATCTTTTCCTATAATTTATAAAAAAAAGGCCTCAACTACCATCAGATAAAAATATGATGGATGGTTCAATACGATCTGGTAGCACAAATAGCTCATCTCAGGACTTTGATCGCAATAATGGATTAAATCGTATGATGTCAAGCTTAAGTATTGGAGAATTTGCAATTTCATCGAATCTCAACCGTATTGATTATGCAGGCATAAGAGTTTCTCATGAGCACACAGACTCCGGTCTTGGTGATCAAGATTATGCATATTCATCGGAAAGGTATGCCTTTCATAAGTAAATATGATTTACAGAATTCCCTCTTGGGTCGTTCACAAATGACGTTCCTCAAATAAAAGCTCCAATCCCCCAAAAATGCTGGACGTCATTAGTGAACGACTCCTTACAATAATTTATATTTACACAGGTCATCGGACAGTGCCAAATATACAAACAAATCGTCGGGAACGTCAGTGCTATCAGGCAATGCAAACTCATTTCATACAAAGTTTTACAATAAAGGTGCTCGACATCATGAGATAGAGAGGCAAGCACAACATAAAACACCGATACCAACATCAATGTCCACTTCAACGGCGCCGGTACATAAAAAGTTTGTTGCTAAATCAAATCATTGCGATAGCAGTAATCATTATATAAATCGCTTCTTTAATAATAACAACGCACCATTCAGTAATAGTATTCACAATAACAATAACAATCATTACTCATTAAGCTTAAATCGTCATTCAGAAAATCATAATCACATAAACTTTGGTGTTGGTTGCATCAATGGCACATTAACATCTCCATATGCATTCACAAGTGGTAGTGGTGTCGAGAGAAATCGCGGTGGAACAAAATCCGATATTGGATATCCAGTATCGTCATCTCGTGCTGGAGTGATGAAAAATAATTTGCCGAAAACTAATTATTTTGTACATGGCAAGCCTTCATTATTGCCATCCGTTCATTCTGACTTATCAATTTATGAGACAACATTCAAAGAATCTCATCCAAATATACCTGATGTTCATAGAGATATTTTAAATAATAATAATAATAATAATATTTGTAATAATAATAATAATAATAATGGTAATGCTACAACATCACCAACAACAAACAATGATGATAATACACCAATGACAAAAACGACAAGTTCTAGTGCAATTATGTCATTATCAAAGACTGGCTCAAAACTTTTATATACAAATAAGCATAGACTAGATATGACTAAACATTATATTAATAACAATAATTGTAATCCTTTGACATCCACGTTCACAAACAATGACATGAATATTATTAGTCAACAAGGGCCTCTTATTTACAAAAACGATGATGAACTAATGCGTTGTGACTGGAATAATTCAGTCTTTGATAATCCAATTATGTCGGTAAGTCCCGTCTACTTCATTTGATATGTTCCTCAAACTCCCCATCATTGTTTGAAATAATTTTTATTGTTCATTTAAATTTTTAACATGAAGAAGAAAAATACGCTAGCATGAAAGCTAGTTGGCATGAATAAGAAATTTTTAACTGCATTCTTACTATTTATTGCCACTAAATTCTTCTTGATTTATTTTTACGTTCTTTCAATCTACTTTTGTCCATAAAACTCTCTGGCAAATGTTCATCTATTCTTACTCCACTTTTACTTAACTTTACTGTACTGTACATAGTGTATATAGAGATGCTTTAGTTTTTTTATTGCATGATTTTTTTGTTTTGTTCTTGTAAAATAAACATGCTTTTGTGCTCATTTTGACTAGAACAGTTGCATGAATTGAACAGTATTGTAAATATTGAATGATGTACAATGATTTTATTGTAAAAGCTTCTATTGAGACTTTTGATGTTTAATGACTTGCGAAGCTCAAATCTTAAAAAGTACAACAAATAATAAGATTTTAGAACTGCTTTTAGCTAAAAAGTGCTGAATATGTTTAATCAGATGCAAAATACTGCTGAATTAAGAGTAAAAAGCGCTGAATTCGAAGTTAATAGTGCTGCATTAGAAGTAAGTTGAACTGAATCCGATGTAGTTTGGGCTGATCTAGAAAAAAGGAGTGCTGAATTCAGATTTAATTGAGCTGAATTGGAAGTAACTTGAGCTGAATTCGAATTAGGTTGCGTCGAATTCAGAAAAATCAAAACTAAATGCGTTCTAGTCACTCCACAAAGCCAAAACTTCCACATCCATTCATGTAAAGAAAAGTAGACAAGTAGATCTTAGTTGTTGTTGTTTGTGGGCTGAATATTAATGTTGTACTAAACCATAAAAATCTTTCACTATGCTGCTGCAAAACTTTTTATATATTTTTACATATTTTTATTATAAAAAATGAAAAACTTTTTCTTTTGGCATTTTCATTTTCATTTACTAAGCAGCAACGAAAAAATTTTTTGTTCTGAATGCCAAAAATAGAAATAATAGAAGGACGAAAAATAATTCGCAGTACACAAGACATAAATAAATGAAATCTCCAGATTATTCCCCAAGAACATATTCAATGTAAATGAAATTATATGTGGCATGCACCATACTTTTGTTTATGAACTAACTTTTTGGTTCATGGATTTAAGTACGTATGCTTAAGACATTCATGATAATTTAAGTGAGGAGGTCTTTAAAACCATCGTTAACATATGAACGAGATGGCAGGAAAGTTTACGCAATAAATTTTCATATAATCTCAATTTAATTTCCCTCTATAAATTTTTATATGTACACATATTACACACTAAAGGAAAATAATTTTTTATTTGCGCTTTGCTCCTTTTGACATAATATTTTTTTTCTGCACATTCCGTACACAAGTATACACATTATAATGTATGTGATAAAATTTTTTTGAACCCTAATAAATAATCGAGCTTTTGTGCTTAACATTCCTTTTGGAAAACAAATAAAGATGCCAATTTATACAGATACTATATCATACATGTGGAATTTACAAACGAACAAATTTGTAATTTAAATAAATGTCCTGGGAATTTTCATTTTATAATTGGTAAAATCGTAAATAAGATTTATTTTGTAATTCTGATTTTTGACAAGAGTATTTGCTAGCCAACCACATTGGAAAGCTTTAATAGAGTAGAATTTTCAACTTATCTTTGATGAGTTCTATGGATTAAGCTGATGTAACGGAATTTGGTTGTGATCAGCAAATTCAGCACTTTTAACTGAATTTAGCTTATTCAGTACTTTAAGTTATTTTTGCTGAATTCAGTTTATTCAGTATTTTTGGCTTTTTTGTTGAATTCAGCATATTCAGTACTATTAGCTAAATTCAGCTTATTCAGCACTTTTTTCTGAATTCAGTTAATTAAGTACTTTAATCTGCTTTAATCTTAAATTCAGATTTTTCATCATTTTTTGATAAATTCATTTCAATTTGATTGATCAAGTTAATAATGTCGAACTCAGCTAGTCCAACCTTAATCCAATCAAATAAGCCTTTATTAAAAACAAATTGCATCAAAAATCTTACAGAATCATTCTAACGCAATCTTTTCCACACAATTCTTTCATTAATCTCAAGGAATTATAAAAACTCAAAAATTTATGAGATTGAAAAAAAAATTGGCACAACAGAAAACATTGTTTGAACTATTCCGATCTAACCATACCATTTATAGCATTAGACGAGAAGGAAGGTCAGTTTGTTATAAATCTTATTGTTTTTCCCCTTATGATTATTTTTTGATCGATATTTAATTTGCTTGGAGTGAATTCTTGCCACAAAGATTATTTCCCTCATGTATTTGATGCATGAGAATCTGAGATCATACAACATACTAAAGCAATATCTTGTATAACATGAAACCAATTCAAATTTAATTACCTTGCCAAAAAATAAAAGTTTCACATGAACTCTTCCACTTACTTGGTGGTCTGAGGATCTTCAAATCTTAATATTCCATTCACTCACTTATTTCTATTAAAAATTGAATCAAACGGTTTCCTTTCAAAAAAGCCTTTTAATAGAGACACGCAAATATGTTGACCTTTCGCTTAAATCGAGTAAAAAAAGAGCAGATCGCAATCTTTGAAATGAGAAAACCTTAACTGTATCCATATAAACCGTAATAATAAACAATGATAAATTGATTGCAATAAATTATGATATAAAATTGAAGTGAGAGTTAAAATATAATGTATTTGCAATTTCATGCTTACTCATGCCTATAAAATGCCCAATATAAATTGAAATAGTCATGCAAATATAAATACCTTTATAGTAAAATCAAAACATTACAAAATTTCATAATCAGCATCAAAAATTAAATTTTAGGTCTGTAGTTTGCAAAATTATTTCTCATAAATTATACAGACAGGCTGCACAAAAAGAAAAAGATGTGAAAATTACTGTTTTGATGACAACCGGAAATTTTCCATGTAATTCTTTCAATTAAAGTGACACAATTAGATACACAATTTTATTAACTTAATTATGAACAGAAAGTCTCTCTTCTACCACATTGCACATCTCATTGTATGCTCGCAAACATGAATACCTTAATTATATGGTTTTATTGTCGTACTGTAAAGAGCTTTTACTGCATGAATAAATTGAACCACATCCAAAATTACATCTGTCATTAAATCTTATTTAAGACATTTAATTTTCATTTTATTTTCGTGTCCAAAATATTTTATCTCGTTCATTAATTATTTTTATCAAGATTTCTTGGCGGAACTGGATGAAATTTTGGCACTTGACTCGGGTTTGGTCGACTAATTTGATAGAAATTTATGAGATGTTAATTAATAGAATATTTTGGATGTCATGTTTGTGTGCTTTGAAGGATTTTTGTTATTTGGAGTGTTCGTTCAACATATGGCTCCAAAATGCTTTGTTGTTAAAGCTATTCTCAGTAGCTACTAGCTATCCTGTCACTGTTGTTTGCTTTGAATTCTTAAATTGTTAAATTTTCTGGATTTTCAATACTTCAAGTTTACAATCCTTAGAATGGACTCAAAGGACAACCTCAGATTCGATTCCCATCAGTTATTCCAATTAACTTAATTAACTAAAGGGGCCATTCACTTATTACGTAACGCTTTTAGGGGGAGGGGGGGGGGTTCTAAGATTTTGTTACGGTTCAAACAAGGAAATTTTTTTTCATACAAATTTTGTTACGAGGGGGGGGGGGTTCTAAGAAGTCATTTTTTCGCGTTACGTAATAAGTGAACAGCCCCAAACTTCAAATCCACAAAGCATGGAAATATTGACCAAAAGTTCAAATGCGTTAGTATATACTCTAATTCCTTAGTGCCTTTTCTGCATGATTTCAGTCCAAAAAGAAATTATATTTTCATTAGTATGTTGATATGCTGCATAAGTTATTGGTAGTGAAATGAAAAGAAAAGGCAATGAAAAGTATTATAAAGTTGTTTTAACTGACTTGTATTGCTTCTGATAACCATAATTATTTTATATTAATTCTTTTATAAGCTTTACTTCATTCACATTGAGTGAAACAAAAAGCAGAGATTTGCTTCTTTTTTTTCATTGCTTGCTGCTTGCTTACATTTCGTATGAGTTAAGTGCTTCTTATATTTTTTTTTTTGGAATGAAATGTTCATGTAATCAGAAAGCATGAAAAGCGTGCGCTGTTGGTGCTTCAATAATAACAAATTAATAAGATCATGAAATGTGTTTCTTCTTTTCTTTTATTCCTTACATTTTGTATAAATTTTTAATATTCCTTTCCCGTACCATCCACAAAAATATTTTATATCTGACATTCTTAAAAAAAACTCATATTTGCCATACCATACGATACTCATTTGTATATGCAGAGTAGTGATGGATTGTCTAGCATCGAGAAATTAAATAATAATGCTGTAAATTCATCTAGCACTAACGATCGTAGAAATAAACTACCTAACTCTAGCAAATCATCAAGTCTGGAATTAATTTTAACACCAATAATTCAAAGTCGACGGTAAGTTAATGTTAAGATCTTTTTCTCACTTTAATTCACTTCCCTCCCCCAATGTAACAAATAATAATTCGATAATAATAAGCAATAAGCCTGTTGTAAGCTATTCATTTTTTTCATATTTATTATTTTTATTACTTTTAAATTACATTGCACAAAACGAGATTAAAATACATACATTGTTGAGACAGAGACGCGATTGAGCGAGTTATTGCACAAAAATTAATACATCTCACCTAAGTGGCTTAATTTTATAGCTTTTTTCATCACAGTTTATGTTTTGTTGTATTTTGCACCCCATTGGATCATTAGACTAATTTAAATTAGACTTTAATGAGTTTTAATATCATTTTAATTAGGCTAATTTCATGTTTGATTTGTTCCTTCATTATTTCATAATTTTTTTGTATTATTTTCACCATTATTTTCTAATTATCATTTTTAATAGAGTTAATATAGTCACACAAAATATTCTGTTTATTATTCATAATTAGCGTAATTTTTGGGAATAAATAACAATCATCCTCACATTTTTGAATTTTATGGAAATAAATTGACTTTTATAACTGATAAGATTTATATACTGACAATTTTTTAAGTTTGAGTTAAAAAACCGTTAAAGCTTAAATTTAAAAAAAATAACCATTAAATTCAAATTTAAAATCTAAATGACCAGTAAACTCAAAAAGTCGTTATGAAATTTCAAATTTCAAAACACCGTTAAATTGATCAATCTTAACATTCCAAACATATTGAAAAATTTTGACAGACTTTAAAGAAAATAAATCTGATTGCCACTGTTGAAAAATCACATTTCAATGGCTTTCAAGATTTTAATCTATTACTGATGGTTGTCGGCGAACATGTGCTTTGATCTACCGTCATACGGAGATATTTTTTACGAGTTTTAATTTATTTCCATTATCATTTCATACGCACAATCAAGTGAGCGAGTGGATTAACTCACTTAGCTAATTGAGAGACGAAAAAAAAATATTTAATACACTTAATAAACATATTCATATGTGTTTATTTTATTTATAATGTCGCTGTTGAAATTAACAGAGTACTAATGAAATTTTAATGAATACATAATTCCCCCCTTTTTACAGATCAAAACATTAGGTGAAATGAGTACGGAGCTTTGATAAATGGAAAATAACATAAATGAATGAAAAATGGCGCTTTTTTGGTCCAGAAAGAGGCGATAGTTTTACATGTGAAAAAGTGCATTTACAAAAAAAAAGTCTTTAGTGATTTTCATCATCTCTCCATTTCTCCTAATAAAAAAAAATCATCATTATCATCATATTTCGCTTTACTCGTATAACTTTTTACATTAAAAACAAAATGTATACTCAAATTTCACAATTTTTACATTTAAAACATTTTTGCAATGTTTATTTTTTCTGAAAAAACCTTTTTTGATCTTTTTTTTTTATTGAATTATTCAAAAAAAAAAATTACAAAGAGAAATTTTTGTTAAATGGAAAATAAACAAAACGGAAAATAAAATTTTGTCAGTGTATGATATGCATTTAAGAAGTCATTCATAATGAAAAATTTCAAAAGTTGGCTTTTGCAGGAGTGACGAATCATTGGTATTTTTCGAAATGAGAAATTGAGTTCTATAAGTTCAAAATTGAGTTCTAAAAGTCCGAAATTTAGTTCTTAAAGTTTGAAATTGAATTTAAAAAGTTCGAAATTAAGTTTAAAAGTTCAAAATTGAATTCAAAAAGTTCGAAATTGAGCTCTGGAATTTTCGAAATTGTGTTCTAAAAGTTCAAAATTGAGTTCTAAAAGTTCGAAATTGAGTTCTAAATGTTCGAAATTGAATCAAAATCTATCCGAAATATTTAAAGTTTGAAATATTAAATTTTCAACATTCGAAATATTCGAAAATCTCGTCCACAAACCTTGAAAATTCCAATTTAAATATTTACTGTGGAAAAATAAATCTCTCCACAGAAGAGTCGTTCCAAAAAAAGTCAACAAAAGGAATTTTCAACTACGAATCTTCTTAATTGCAAAAAATATATATTTTTCATGAAAATTTTATTATATTTGTCATCACACAAAATATTTGTAGTAATTTTAAGGCGTATTTTGTAAACGTTATTTAATTGTCTCAATAGAAATGGAAAATAAAAGAAAGAAATAAGTTTCAATAGGAAGCACCAAATGAATTTCTCTTTAATTCTACTGATAATGGCTTATTAAGATATATATCCTGCAGAACAACTGAGGCATAAAGAAAAACCATCGGAAAAATAACTTCTCATTGTGTTGTTGTGTGTCTCTGAAGAGAGATGAAGATTTTATTCCAGCCACTCTTTTTTTTCAGAATAAAGTCAGGCGTAGCAAGATAAACTCATTCTACTAGATGACAATTTTGTTTTTATTACATTCATGCACATATTTTTTCATATTCTATTCGAGCTTTTATTGCAACATCCACAGAACAAAAGTGCTATTATTTTCACTTTGGTTGATAAGTGTCTCTTGGATGTAATATTAATACCAAAGTTCGTTGTTATAATTTTGTGGAATTTGTTATGAAATGAGGTCGAATTAAATATGAATGAACGGGAAATTGCATCGCGAGTCACATTTTTATCCAACAGAATGGACATTCGAGACTAATTCTTATGACAGTTCCTACAGCTATCCAAACTTCCATTAAACTACTTTTTCAACTCATAATGCGTCTTAGTCACCTGCAGCCACAAACTGTTTTTTTTTTGCATTTTGAGAAGCAAATTATATTTTGGCATTGTACTGCTGAATATCAAAGATCAGCAAAAGGCAGTTGGAGTGAGAACAAGCATTTTTCTTATTTTTCTGGAATGTCGTCAAGCGTTGATAAAATATTTAAACAACCTCTGCTGTTGTTAAGGTCACTAACAATGTTATTGAGGGAGAAAGAATCTCTCTCCGTTGAATAATTCAATTTTCAAACAGAAGAAGAGGATAAAGAGAGTAAGAAAGAGGTTAGTTCCGAGGCTGGAAAGCGCATTTCAGGAATTTAATTCGTTTAAGGGACCTTTCACTTATGACGTCAAGGCGTGGTAGGGGGGGAGGTCAGCAAGAAAAAAACAATAGAAATTCCTGGAAATTCATTGTTCTTTTTTGAAAAATGACCATTAATTTCGGACGTCATAAGTGAACTTAGGTTTTAAGTAAAGTTAGATGCACGATAAGAAAACAAAGATTCAATGTAGAATAGATTAATGGTTTAGGTTAGTATTCTGCAAAACTTAACTTCTTGATACCTTAGTGGTAAGAGGATATGAATAAAATCTTAAAGACAGCTTAGGACATTGGTTCCTTTTGTTTTCGTGAAAAATAAGGTTATGTGGAGTTCGTGGTGGATTCAAATTCGAAAAATCAACATTTAAGAGAGTGTGGAATTTAAAAACCTTTGTTTTCTTGGCAATCAGCCGAAGTACGGACATAAAATGGACTATTTTATCAAAATTTATTGATTCAAAAGCAGCATCAATGGCAGCCAAAGAACGACAATTTTTATATTCACACCGTTTTCACGTGTGAATCTATTGGTTTTGTTCAGATTGAAAAATCAGTTTTTCGCATTTTGTGAGAAAACAAAGCAAAATTGGTTATAAAAGGTCACAGAAGAAAAGTTTGTGCCTGAAATTTTACATCATTTTCAAAAAACAGATTTCAAATTGGTTGTGGCATTGCTGAGAAAATCGCAAAATACGCTTTCTGTAAGCAAACAAGCATGCAAGCAAGCAAGCAAGTTAATCATCAAGAAATCTCAATAACGAGACATTGTAGAGACTTCTAGTTTTTTACATTTGATCCGTGCTGCTCTATAGAAGAGCTGTATTGTTTTTAGGCAAGGTAGGAACAGCCGTTGCTTCAGAAAAAGCAAAAAACTTTCCTTTCTTACGAATTTTTCAAATTAAAAGTTCACTGTGATTTTTTTTTATTCTAAATTAAACTATGGATGAAAAAAATTTTTTTGAGCAAAGAACCAAGTAGGAAATACATTTTCAATTATGAACTTGGGACAGGTCTAGTCAAAATCTAGTTTTTCACTTTTTTTCTTCGAAGGTTTATCCAATTACAGTGAAACTTTGTGTGAGTATACTGATATTTATACAAAACAGTTTAAAATATCTAAAGCAAGAAATGTATTCTATATGTCGTCATACCCAAATTTTATAAATTTGGTTGTACATTCAAAAACAACGTGACTTAAAATTTTGTCCAAAAAAATGATTTTTATTAATTCAGAAATTTGTGACCTGAAAATTAGAATGCTCATATAAAGTTTTACTGTATTTGGATTTATCCTCGAAGAAAAAAGTGAAAAACGAGATTTTGACTAGGGTCGCCCCTAGTCCAAAATTGAAAATTGACTTTCTATGGTGTACTTTTGTCAAAAAAAATTTTTGGATTTTTTATTTGAATTGACAAAATTCTGACAAAAATCACATACCAATATTACTTTTTGTAATGCATAGCTTAAAAAAAAACGAAATCTAAAATTTCGACTACCCCATCTGAATTTTGTTCATACTCTTCACTGTGGAAACCAAAAAAAAATTCTTTATCTTAAAACACTTGACAAAATAGCGACATAATTCAGGATTAATTACTTTTTAATAATATTTTAACATTTACGAGAAAATGTGGTTCAAATAAGTGTGAAGTATGGCCGAGATTTGGACCAAAATCAGCTATACTGGTTCATAGTGTTCCCGAGAGTGACAAAATTCAAACTAAGTGTTTTTGTAGCTGACATAATTATGACATAAATTAGGTATAACGTTTGAACTGTGTCGATATGGGTCTCGGACGTACTTCACGCCCACCCTTCAAACTTATGCTGAGCAAATCTTGGTCTATCCATAAGACTTTTGATGGTACGGTGTGAATATATCCGCATTGGGTTTCTACCCGATACACTAGTTAATATTAAACTTTAAATGAATAAAAAAAATTTTTTTGAGCAAAGAACCAAGAAGGAAATACATT